AGACTCATGTGAACCCAGCTGGAGACCTGGTTGGCCAGCAGTGTGGCAAGACCTGGGGACTCTTGGGCCCAAAGTCAGTGGCATAGCCACAGAGGACTAGAGTGGAGAGTGAAGCGTCCAGCTGATTAAGAAGAGGGGGCATATGCATAAGTACACCCACACTTGCAGATAATACCCACTTGACCTGGCTTCAATGACTGGATGATCAGAGCTCAACTAGAAGGAAGAAGAGGAAAAAAAGAGTACTCTGATACAATTTGATGAACTTGACCTAAACCTATGGATGCAGTAGCTCAAAAGAGGGAACACATCTTTACAGCAAGGATCATTCCCACCCCCTCCATACATATACAGAGTAGACAGGGATAGGCAACTTGGACATTGGCTACCCAAAATGGGGGTGTCTACAAAGGCAAGAAGTGACTGGCCTACAAGCTTTCAAGAGGGAGGCTAGAGCCAGGGGGCATGGAGGAAGATACAACCTCCACTGAGTAGTATCCAATCTGTCTAGGCGGGGCTGATGAAAGGCCACGCAGACAGGTCTTCTGTGATACAACAGTGAATAATCGTTATCAGGACTGACTGTGAGGGTTGGAAATGTAAAGGTAGATATTTTGTAGCAAAAGGTGGGGAGTGATTAACTTTGCAGTCTAAGAGTGGAGGTCCCTGGGACCATCAAGGGAGAGGAGCAGAGAGCGGAACCCTACCCAGAGAAGCAGTGATGCCAGAGATGGAGGCAGAGATGATGATGTGAAGAGATAGAGCAGCTGGAGACTTTGGACCTGAGAGGGAGAGGGGATGTGTGCTGACGACTGGGGGAGAGCTTGCAGAGTATACCCTCTGTTTGGCTGATGATGGATGGAAGGGACTGTAGCCATGGCAGGGAAGCGATATATAATAGGCTGAATGTAAAGCTAATGTTCTCCCACGTAAAACTAATACATAATTCACAATACAACATTAAAAATAAAAAAATAAAGACATTTCCATCTCATTTCACCAGACCCATTTAGACAAGATGATAGCTATTCAGTGGGTACTCTTTCTTCCCCCCACCCACACACACTCTTAAACTAAGCTCCCTCTTGAAACCTTGTAAGCCAGTCACTTTGTGCTTTTATTGCCCCCTCATTTTAGGTAGCCAATGCCTAAGTTGCCCGTCCCTATCTACCCTGTGTACAGCGCAGATAGCATTCGTAAGATTCAATAGTGAATAACTGTTATCATGACTAATGGCGACTGTCACAATAGTAAAGATAGAAGTGTTGTAACATAAAAAAGGGGAGTGATTAATCTTACAGTCCAGAAACAGAGGACCCTAAGACCATCAAGAGAGGAACGCATAAGTAGAATGCGGGACATTATCCAGAGAAGCAGCAGCACCAGAGATGGAGGAAGAGATGGGGGCATGGTGCGAGGGACTGGCTGAGGACTCTAGATTCATCAACTAAGAAGAGAAGGACTAAGAACTGGTGGTCAGGAGCAGACTTGCAGAATGTGCCCTTTGGAGATGTAAATTATTATATATGCCAGAGTGGGTTTTTTTGTTTGTTTGTTTTTTAAAAAGCTACAGTGGATAGAGAGAAATCCTGTCAACTGATGGTATATGTAGGGGATTATAACCAATGTAAAGAAACAAGTTATATGAATTGTTGAATGTGAAATTGATGATGTGCCCTGTAAAGTTTCACTCAATCCCCAATAAAAACCTCAATTTAAAAAAAAAAGACATTTCCATACACCAAGTATGGGTATGAAGTAATTACATAATGCAGAAAAAACTAGAAAATAGGAAAGTAGAAAAAACAGTAAGCTATAAACTTAGAGTTGATTTTAATGTCAGTTTAATCACACTTCAGTGATCAAACTTAAGTCATTAAATTCTTTGTGTTTCAGTTTCTACATCTGTGATAGAATTAATAAAACTGTCCACTCTGTACTGTATAGAATGTTTTAAGAGGTAGTAAGATAATAAATAAGCTGAAGTGTCAATTATAACCATTACTGGTACTGACAAGCACACAAATCATCTGAGACAGATTTCCAGATTTTAGCCCTAGAGAATGGTTTTGGGTGTGAGGAGTAGCAAAAAGTGAGCTATATAAATCAAGGTTTTTAATAAACACCCAGATGATTGTTTAAAAAAAAAAATGCTATAAGTGGGTCCAAAAACATTCCGTGCTTTAAAATACTGGGTCATTTAAGTGCAAGGTTAATGAAATGGCCCAGTGTGCTTGCTGCAGAGGACAAGAGGCAACTGTAAGTTACACTATATCCAAATCGCGGTCTTGTGGGAAGCATGATCATAGTTTCACTGTAACAGTTAACATTATACAGGGTACACTTAGTGGTAGGATCTGTGGTATGGGCTTCACGTTTAGTCTTTTCACACAACTTAGGAGGGTGCTGTCATTGTTATGTGCTGTGGATTCAGTTGCGACATACCGTGACCTTATGCACAACAGAACAAAACAATGCCTGGCCCTGAGCCATCCTCATCATTGCTGTTACAACTGATCCCATTGCTGCTGCCACTGTGCCAACCCATGTATCTTGTTGAGGGTCTTCCTCTTTTAGTTGACCCTCCACTTTTACCAAGAACGAATGATGTCCTTCCCCAGGGACTAATCCCTCTTGACAGCATGTCCAAAGTATGACACACGAAGTCTTGCTATCTGGCTTCTAAGGAGCATTCTGGGTGTACTTTTTTCAACACAGATTTGCTTGTTATTCTGGCAATCCATCATACTTTTAACACTCTTCTCCAATACCATAACTCACTTTCATCAACTCCTCTAAGCTCTTCCTTACTCATTGTCCAATTTTCACATAAATACGTTGTTGTTGTTAAGTGCCACAGAGTCGGTTCCAACCCACAGAAACCCTGTATAGGGTTTCCAAGGAGCTTGACTGACCAACCTTGCAGTTCAAATGACCTGAAGTCTAGCACTTGAACCCACAGCACAACAGGACTACTAAAATACTACGCCTTGGGTCAGGAGCACCTTAGGGTTTCCAAGGAGCTTGAATGGCCAACCTTGCAGTTCAAATGACCTGCAGTCCAGTGTTTGAACTCACAGCACCACACCAGCACTACTGAAATACTATGCCTTGGGTCAGGATCACCTTAGTCCTCAAACTGCTATCTTTGCTCTTAGACAATTTAAAGAGGACTTGTGCAAAATATTTACTTAATACAGTCCATCATGTGATGTCTTGACTGCTGATTTCTACATTCCATTGGGTAACCTCTCTTTGGAATGGTCACAAATATCTCTTCCAATTGGTTGATGAAGTAGCTGTCCTCCAAATTTCTTGGCACAAATGAGTGAGCACCTCCAATGCTGCAACAGTTTTTTAAATTTGTATTTAGTCAGTTCCTACAGCCTTGTTTCTCACCAATACCTTCAGTGCAGCTTGGACTTCTTCCTTCAGGAACATTGGTTCTTGATCATAAAAGTACCTTTGGAAATGGTTGAACATCAACCATTTCTCATTTGCACAGTGAATCTGTATATACCTTCCATCTTTTAATACTTTCTGCATCATTCAATGTTTTGCCCATAGAATCCTACAAGCATAGAATGCTACAAGTTAAGGCTTAAAATTTTTCATCAGTTCTTTCAGCTTGAGAAATGTGAAGCCTGTTCTCTTTAGGTTTTCTAACCCCAGGAGTCTACGCATTTCAATATAATGCTTGACTTTATCTTCTTGAGCTTCCCTTTGAAATTTTCTGTTCAGCTTTTTATCTCAAAGTACCAAAGTTTCAAAGTGTTTTCTGACATCTGACATTTCACTTTCTTCCTGTATGATGTTCTTGATGTTATCCCACAACTCTTTAGTGTCTAATACATCAAGTCTGTTCTTGAGATGCTCTCTTAAATTTAGGTGGCATGTGTTCATAGTCATATATTGGCTCTCATGGATTTTTAATTTTCTTCAGCTTTAGTCAAAACTTGCATATTAACAATTGATGATCTCTTTCAGTCAGCCCCCACACTTTGTTTTGGCTGATGATATGGAGCTTTTCCACAGTCTCTTCTCACAGATGTAGTCAATTTGATTCCTGTGTATTCTACCTGGTGAGGTCCATGTTGTTTAAAAAAGGTATTTGCAATAAATAAATCAGTGGTCTTTATGCATTCCATTTCATTTGTAACAACTTTCAATTTTCTTAGTCATACTTCCATGTTCCGGTTATTTATGTACACTAATTATTTATTGTACATTTATAGCTGTTTCTCATTTTGAGTTCTGCCCCAGCAGCAAATGAAGGTCCCAAAAGTGTTATTCCATTGGTTTCATCATGGTCAACTCTACTTTATAGAGGCATTCCTTATGCAGTCATATTTTGAGTGCCTTACAACCTGAGGGCCTTATCTGACAGTGTTCCACTACTATTCATAAAGTTTTCAAGTGGCTAAACATTTCTTCTTCCTAGTCTTGTTTTAATATGAAAAAAGCTCATCTGAAACCTGTCCACTGTGGGTAACCTGCTGGTATTTAAAATACTGGTAGCATGGCTTCTAGCATCATCGCAATGGGCAAGCCATCACCATAGGAAAAGCTAACTGACAAGTAGTAGACTTAAGAGGACTGTTGTTCTTAAATACCTTTGAGCCAGTTTTGACTCACAGGGACCCTGTGTAGGATATCCAAGGAGCAGCTGGTGAGTTTGAAACACCAACATAGTGGTTCAAATCGATCTTAGGGTGAGAAAACAGATTATCTTGCACAAAATCACAGGACTAGTAATTGGTTGTCTGAAAATTCAAACCTGAAGTTTGACAACAAAGCTTGTACACTTTATAAGTTATCATGTATTAGCCTCCATAAGAAACAAAAAGCTGACAAATGAAAAACACTTCCAATTTGAACCCGATCAGCATTCTCTCCTATATGGTCATATTCATAACCTGGTTAGATTTTAACAGCAATTGGTATCAAAAGCTAGGGCATGAAAATATATCATTCCTAACAAACACCCTCATCCAATTTACCTTCTGTGTTTGTGCCTGTTGGCTCAGGAGTGGCCCTCCCATCATTTACATTAGCGCTCTCCTCATCAGCATACAGAAGGCGATCATCCTCGTTATTTTCTGGCCAGTGTGGCAGCATTTCATTCCTATCTGAGCAGCTGCATACATCTTCATTCCTGTTGAAATATCTCTGCAGCCATCCAGGCACAATATTCTTGACAGATTCTGTAACTCTGCTAAGAATGCCCTGCTGAGAGTGAAAAACACATGTTTTAAAATTTTGCTTCCTAAAAAACAAACCTATTTACATAAAGTCGTGCATGCCAAGGAAAAAGTTCCCACAGAAGCTATTATATTAAAGACGACAGTACTGTTTATTCAACAGTTTAACTCACTTCTTTTGAGTTAATGCCGACAGAAATTCTGTAGATATTATAAAACTCCTACTGTCTCCCATATGCATACATCTATGAACCAAGACTCACCTCAAATGGCAGTATTTCGCTAATCCTTATAAAATCCTAAAAGGCCATCAAATAAGCAATATACCTTTGATTGAGTAGCAAAATAGTCACTAAAATGTATTCATCTCAAAGAAAAGGCATCTCATTTTGAGCCTAAAATGTATTAAGAACCATATGACAGTCTTCCCAGTTATTTCACATTTTAAGATAAAAATAATAAAAGTTTAGACAAATATAAATGAAATTAAAAGATAACTAATCCAACATAATAAACTCAAGATGTAATCTAGGTTCTTTTTAATAATGAAATTTCTCTTTATCAAATGTTATATGAAATCTGAGTAATTATATTATGGCAATTTTTAAGGAAAAAAGTAATGTAATATGATACCTAATATAATTATTTCCATTTATTGTAGCTTGCTATATATTGCTGCCAGGCATTGTTCTAAGCAATTTATATGTATAGGGAGGCTTCAGAAAGTTTGTAGAAAGATGGAAGTAAAAGATAATGTGATTTAAAAACAAATCTTGTAAAGCCCCCTCATATTATTTACATGAACTCTGACAATCACTTTATTAAGTTGGTTTGGATAAAAGCAATAAAGTAACTTGTCCAACTTAACAAACACAATTACTATGTATACCTGGGACAGAGTAAAAGCATGGGCTGTGGGGTTGGAGTGCTTTAGGGCCAAATTTGAGTGGTGGTGGTGGTGGTTATGTGCCACGGAGTCAGTTCCGACTCATAGCAACCCTGTATAGGGTTTCTGAGGCTGTAAATATTTACGGTAGCAGAAAGCCTCATCTTTCTCTCGTGGAACAGTTGGTAGTTTTGAACTGCTCCCTGAATTCTGGTAAGCTCCAGTTTTACTTGATAGGAAATATAATCAAGATCAAATGAAATGTGTACTTCCCAAATTACAAGTAAAACAGAAATAAACTGGAAAGCATTATTTCTAACTAGCAAAAAGCCTAGTGGAAACAAATTAAGGGTGAAGTCCCTAATTTTAGGTAAAAATTTTCTTTATAAAAAAGCATTAGCAGGATTTTAGACAAACAGTCACAGAAGGGAATGAATAACTTAGCAGGTATGTATGTACATACACACACACACAAGTTAAAGGCAGTACACCCCTATCTACATGGAAAGCAAACCCAAGACAAAGAGGCCTTGAAAAATCCAGCATAAGAAGAATCCTCTAATGACAGGGACCTAAGTAACAACATTTTAATATTTCTGCTACAGGCCCATGCACACACAGATAGGGCTTCAGTATTATTACTGTTGTTGTTAAGTGCTGTCGAGTAATAGTACACCGTATAGAGTTTCCAAAGTGCAGCTGGTGAGTCTGAACCGCCAACCTTGTGGTTCAAACCAACTTTGAGTTCCTGTGCATTATCCTACAGAACCACACCAGGACTCCTCAATATTATTAAGAGGCTGTAAATCTTTATGGAAGGAGCTCTGGTAGCACAGTGGTTACAAGTCGGGCAGCTAACCTCAAGGTCAACAGTTCGAAACTACCAGCTGTTCCGCAGGAAAAAGATGAGACTTTCTGCTCCTGTAAAGATTTATAGCCTCAGAAACCTTATGCAGGATCACTATGAGTCGGAATCAACTCCACAGTATACCACCATGACCACCAAATCTTTACGGGAGCAGAAAGTCTCCTCTTTCTCCCTCGGAGTGGCTGGTAGATCGAGTTGCTGACATTGTAGTTAACAGCCCAATATGTAAACCACTACGCTAAGAGAGCTCTTACAGGGTCACTAGGAGTTAGAACTGACAATGGCAGTACGTATGGTTTTTCAGTTTGGACACTAGTTCTAATGGTTCCCTGTACCACTGCAGCATCTGTACCAGTAACATCAACATCTCCTTAGGACCTAGCCCAGTCCTATGAAACTAAACACTCAAGAATCTGTTTAACAAGTCCTTTGAATCAGATCTATCAAATCAATCCAATTCAATTCTGTTTTAATTTGATACTAACTCCTTGGCTCATTAGTAGCTCTTCTTTCTCTGATCCTCTGCACCTGAACTGTTCAGAGATCAGAAACTGAAAGGGCACAGTCCTCCAATGTAACTTTTATATTTGCATCCAGGACCCAAAAAGAGATACACTATCCACTGTCTTCCCACAGGAAGGTGCAAACAGTTAAGTGCTATAAACTACTAGATTAAAGGATAACCGTTCGACATCTATCATCAATCAGAAGGCCAAGGAGTTTCCATGTCCAGAGCTTTTACTGAAGCCTCATTAATAGTAGGCAAGGTGACTGAATCACTGTCTCATGTGGTTAAACTTCTGGCCTTCCCCTGAGTTTGGGATGATACCAAATGGTGGGTCATTTGGGCCTGGTCAGATTCCTGCCCAAAAGTAACGTCATAAGCATTAACCATCAGATCCGGACAACACTGGCACCTGAATCACTGAGGAAATTGCTTACGTTTTTACAGCATCTCTCAGTAATCAAATACAAAGACCAAACTCTTTAGGTAAAGTTCATTATAAACCCTACAAGCCTTCCCAAGTGATTTTGATGCTAAAACCACTGCTGTAGCCAAAGCTTCAGTTGTGTAGAACACTATCCAGACAATAATTAAAATATAAAAACTCTAGATGAAATCAGAATTTAAACACTCTGACAGCTGTTATGAACTGAATTGGTAGTGAGTTACCAGTACAAGCTGGGCTGCAAACCGCAAGGTCAGCAGTTTGAAACAGGACAAAGATGTGACATTCTGCTCCTGTAAGATAAAACGATTTGCAGCCTCGGAAACACTCTACAGTTCACTGAGTAGGAACTTACTCCATGGCCCACAACCACACCAATTCTTACACTTGTGAAAGTGACCTTGTTTGAAATTAAAATTCTGAAGATGTTATCAGTTAAACTGAGGAAGCCTTACCAGAGTTGAGTACTGCCAAATCCTTTCTGAGTGATGTGTTTTAAATGAGAACAGAGAAGAGAAAGAGTCACACTGGGAGGAAGACAGATTCTAGGTGAAAATGCATGATAAAACTAAAGAACACCAAGAAACTCCTTGGGACACCAGAAACTAAAAGAGAAAAGTAAAGATCTTCCTCTAGAGCAGGGATAGGGTATATCCAGTCTGTGGGCAGTGAGTGTAAGGCCCTGCCAAGGAACTCTGGTATCAGAATAGAGTCAGCCTGCTAACCTCAAGGTCAGCAGTTCAAAACTACCAAATGTTGCCTGGGAGAAAGATAAGGCTTTCTAGTCCTTATCTTTTACAGACTCAGAAACTGACTCCAGGGCTTACAACCACCACCACCAAGTTCCAACCATCACAAGTCAGTTCTGACTCACAGCAACCCTGCGTAGGGTTTCCAAGGAACAGCTGGTGAGTTTGAATCCTTATCCTACAGTGTCACACCAGGACACTGTTGTTGTTGTTCAGTGTGATGCAGTCAGTTCCAACTCATAGTCACCCTATATAGCGTTTCCAAGGAACAGCTCGTGAGCTTGAACCGCCAACCTTTCGGTTCAAGCTGAACTTGCAGTTTGCAGTTCAGCACATTAACCTGCAGCGACACACTAGGACTCCCACCAAGACAATTGCTGTTAATATAGCAGGCTGATTTTTTTTTAGTTGATAATTTTGTATGGCCCGTAAAAATTATAAATTTTTTAAGAAAAAAGGTTTCCCCACCCTTGCTCTAGAGCCTTTTAAGAGAGCATGACCCAGCAATGCCTTGAATTCAGACAAAGCCTCTATAACTATGAGAGAATAAATTTCTGTGGTTTTAAACTACCCACTTTGTGGCTTACCACAGTCCTAGGAAATTATGATTGGACTGTGCTGAATACAGCGCAGCTCATGAAGTGATTTTCTGTTTTCCGTATGTCTTCGTTATCTAGTGCTGCTATAACAAATACCACAGTAGCTTTAAATTTTTTCAGTTTAGGAGCTCAAAGTCTGAATTCAAGGTACTGGCTCTCGAGGAAGCCCTTCTGCTCCTAGGCAATCCACATGCCTTGGCATCAATCTTTCTCAACCTCTGTTTGCTCCCTTGTTAATAATCTTTTATCAACTCTCAAAAGAAATTAACTCAATATACACCCTACACTGGAATCCTGGTGTGGCACAGTAGGATAAGCACTGGACTACAAGGTTAGTTTGAACAACAAAATCAGTGGTTCAAACTCACCAGCCACTGCTTGGAAACCCCTATACAGGATCACCATGGGTCAGAAGTGACCCATAGGCACTTAACACCATACACTAATCCTATCTCATTAACATAACGAAGACAACCCCATTTCCACAGGCTTGATGGTAGTGGTGGTATGCCTTCCAATGGCCCTATAAAAGAAACATCTTTCTCCCACAGGGCAGCTAGTAGATTCCAACTGCTGACCTTGCAGTTACCCACTACACTATCAGGGCACCTTAACCACAGTTACATCATCGTTAAGTGCAGCTGAGTGGGTTCCAACTCAAACCACCTGTACAAGGTGTTTTCCAAGGAGCATCTGGTAGGTTTCTACCACCAATCTTGCAGTTAGTAGTCTAATAGTTATCCTACAGTGTCAAACCACCTGTACAGGGTGTTTTCCAAGGAGCATCTAGTAGGTTTCTACCACCAACCTTGCAGTTAGTAGTCTAATAGTTACCCTACAGTGCCACACCAAGACTCCATATGTGTCATTGTTGTTAAGTGCTGTCAAGTCAATTCCAAACCCACAGCAGCAACCCTGTATAGAGTTTCCAAGGAGCAGCTGGTGAGCTTGAACCACCAACCTTGCAGTTCAA